CTCTGTGATAATAAGCATGTGAGATTTGAAGATCATTTGGTTCTCAAATTAATGTCTTGAAGTTTTTAATCACACTTTAAAATGTTTGATTTTGGTCCATTTGAAGTCAGATCGGATTACATTTGGTGTCAATAAGTTTTCCTCATCAAGGCATTCAATGGAACTTTAAATTTGATGAAATAAAAAATTCAAATGATCCCATATATTCGTGCTTGATCAAATTGATTTTTTGGAGGAACATCAACACTCATCTCAAAATAGATTTAATGGCTTCGAGGCTAATTTTAACTATCATTTTGACAATGACATTCTGATCTTTTTTTCCAGTGATGAGGCTCAACAGATATTCAATAATAAATTTCACTGCCTAAAAGATTTTATTTGGGACGACTTTTTTACTGCTTCTAAAAACAGTTTTCTAGTAGAAAATTTTTATTTTTTTTACTAAAAAACTGCTTTAAGAAGCAATAATAAGAAGCAGTAAGAAAGCCGTCTCAAACAAATCCTAAGGATGGCTGTTTTATTGCTTTTTAAAATAGCTTTTTAGTACAAAAGTTAAAAATTTTGTACTTGAAAGCTGCTTTAGGAAGCAGTAAAAAATCCGTCTCAAACGAAGCCTAAGTCTTCTTGGTTCTCAATAGTTGTGATGAGGCTCCTATCTGATAATTGTGGGACTCAGTCCTTTATTTAACGATCGATAACATCTAATCACGTTGTTATTGCTTGCCTTGATTCTCCAAACATAGAGTAATTAACTGTCATTAATGTATTACATAGTTGAGATTAGCAGGATCTTAATTAATCTTCTTAAAGCGAGAAAGATACTTTTTGTTCTATCCAAGACTGCAAGCCAGTCCTTAATCAAATTAAATTCTTACCAACTCCAAGCATTTGATAGTGCAAAGTATCAAAAACAGGAAAACAAAAAAATTAAAAAAAAAAAAACTAGCGATTGTATGATGTCTCATCTATGGGGCAAATGGCGAATTATTACGTCTGGTTACCGGACGTCCGGACATCCAATCCAGATGCGCCACATCACTCAAATACATTGGGACCCGGTGTATTTTGATGAAGTGGCACGTCTGGATTGGTGTCCGGACGAATCCGGACACCGGACCTAATAATTTGCCCATCTATGAAGTATTTTATAAGTTTGTTACTCCAAAACAAATATCAAATCAGGAAAAAAAAAATTCCTATAATGTTTTGTATTGATCTCAATTTTTCGATTTATAATAATTTCATCATTAACCCAAAAGCAACTCCCAGAAGAATTTTATATTGGTTCTCTTAGGCTTCGTTTAGGACAGCTTTCTCACTGCATTTTAAAGTAGCTTTTTGGTATACAAATTTTTAGTTCAAAAAAATTTTATGCTGAAAAGTTGTTTAAGAAAATGATAAGAAAGTTGTCCGAAACGAAGCCTTTACCCAAATGATAGTTTGAAGCAAAGAGAGGAAAATGGGCATGAAAAGTTATTGGTAAGTAGAAGTATCAAGGGGTGAAGATCTACATAAGAACCCAAAGTCCTCTATAAAAATTCTATGTAGTATCAGATAGGCGATGTTGTTGCAAACTTGTAAAAGCCTAGAAATTATGAAGAGAGGAGGGGAGCAAAGGATGATAACAGAATAATGAGCCTAATAGCCTCTTTTATAATCATGGAACCAAGTAAATGGAGGCAAAAGTGAGGGCTTTAGAGACTGTAGACCAAAAAGACAATCTTTTCTCATTGTCTCATGTTGATTTCCTTATCTTCTTTTTGGCTTTCATCCTAAAGCTTTCTTCTTAGTCTGCATTGCTTTTGAATGTTAAAAACTCACACCCATAAAGAAATGAAGAATTAGGCACTAGGAGTTTGAAGATTTAAGAAAAATGGCAGCCAAGGTACTCTATGAGGAGGTGAAGATAATGTGACAAATGCAAATGATTTAGAGAGATTTGATCTTGTAACTTACATCCATTGTAAGGTGAGCTGAGGGAATATGATTTCTATCTAAGAAGAACATAGTACAAAAATGTCATTCTTGTGAATAAATGATGGCTTGCAAACAAGATTAGTGTGTATTTCACATGCATCATGTGTGGATGTTTGATTGATGTTTCATGCCTCTCATTTCTTGTTGTGCACATTATTTCTTCAAAGCCCTCTAACAAGATGTCCGTTGAAGGAGAGATTATTACGTGCGGTGTCCGGACCATTCGAAGGTGAATCCGGACGGGCCACGTCATCCGGATGCACCGGCCTGACGCACCGGCCCTGAGTGATATGGCGTGCCAGGATTCACCTCCGAACGAATCCGGACGCCGCACGTAATAATTTTCCCTGTTTAAGAGACTTTGCTCAAGGCATATGTTACCAGGGACTTCACCTCTATCACTTTCCTGTCAAGTAAATATCCTTCTGATCATTCTTCTCAGCATCATATCTCTATTGATTTTCGCTCTTCTCAATTCAATTTTGGCAATCTTAAGGAAGATAAACAATTGGAATTAGGCTTGCTATAGGGCTCTAGTACCATTTCTATTTGATTAAACACAGAAGAAGAAGAAGAAGAAGAAGATGATGATGATGATGATGAGCAGAGGAAAATATATCTTGAAAACAACAGTCTCCAAACAACCTTGTGATTTGTAATAGTTTAGGATATCATGGACAAGACTAATCAACCTAAATTTAGAAAATAAACTTAACTACATGTTAATCAGAAGACTAATCGTATAAAACCTTATCGACTCGTTATGGCTAATCTGAATTTTGGATTGATATCACCAATGCATTCATTACCCGTGATGCCATTATTGCCTTACCATTTCACCTCCCTCTTTCTAAAGAAGTCTGCATTAGATTCGCAGGGCAGAGGTGGGAGAGAGTAAATGCCTCAAAAAAACAAAAAAAAAAACAAAATTTTTTTTTTATTTCCTCTTTTAGATGTATTAGATATAATGATATAATATTTTCTTAAATGGAACAGTAGCATGGTGTAGAACAATATTGGATCGACCGACTATGTAGGTGGGGTTGAGGATAAGCATAGAGTCGTTGGGATGTGTGTGTGTGTGTATATATATATATATATATATACCACAAAAAATCCATCAAATACTAGCGGATATTCTACACGAGCCATTACTCTGACCGTCGGTCCAACAACAACTTAAAACCGTCGGAAATAAACCGCCGGTTTCAGTTTCCTAAGTGGCTAATACCGGCGGGAAAAACCCGCCAGAACAACGAATTTCAGCCAGAAAAATCTACGAGTAATGGACGATTTTTCCTACTGTGTACAAGAGTTTAAAGACATATAGATGCTAGTATGGACCACGCTCGTACATGATTTGAATGAGGTTTGAAACGTGCTCGAACATGATTGGAGCATGATCGTTTTTTAAATTAAAATTCTCCTTTAGTCTCAATTATATTATACCTAGGTTGCCGATGTTGGAAGGGGAAACGGCTGCATTCAGATTTATATAATGAAAAATAAATATTTTAACGCTAACCATCGTTCATTTAATAGGGCTTGTGGTCATATGATTAAGATTATAACCAATATTTTGTTATAATTGTAATATTATTTGATATAATTTTATTAAATGTAAAAGGCTAGTTTTTTTAGTTTGTAATTCTTTGTTAGTTATAATGTAATTGAGTGTTGATAAAATATTATCGACTACTTCTATTTAATGTCTTTTAAGTATTGTCAATTCAACTAGTATATGTTATAATTGTGATTTTATAACATAATGCTTTTATTGTGAAATCTATTCTTTCTATGGAACTATAAAAGATTAAAGTATGAGATTCTTAATTGAACCATGTTCAAAAAATCTATGGTCAAGATTCAAACAATATTTAAATCATTGGACACAGATTTAAACATATAACATATTAACATATAATAACAATGACTATAATATAATAGAAGTTAACTTTGATATAATAAAGTGCTGTTGTAACATCTATACCTCATCACAGTATAATTTTGATGCAGGTGAGTACAATCATGACATTTATAGCACAAATGACTATAACTTTAAAATAATAGAGTACAATCGAACAACATAATTAAATGTCTCCTCATAAATCTCTGGTAAGTGATATATCCACTTCATACTTATGATGTCCATTTATTCCTATTCAATTTTCTTTAACCATGCATTATACTTAGGATACTCATTTACATCACTATAACGTTCCTAAATTGTCTAGTTCTGACATGCAAACAAATTTCTAACATGGTGTAAAAAGAGAACAATTCCTAACATGGTTGTAACATTTTTTTAAAATTGGATGAAGGATGTGCTCCAATCAAATTAGGGTGAGCTAAAGCTCAGTAGACATGGTTGTAACATTAATATGATGTTAAAGACATCTTAGGGTTTAGATTTAATATGCAAACAAATTTTAAAAAACATAATGTATAGTCATTCCTCATTTTTTTAAAACATAAATTTCCTTCATATTATCGAGAAGTTATTACATGTGGAGTCCAGACAGGAGAACCGTCCGGATTCTATGAGGATACACAATAAATACACATTGAAAATAAAACTGTGTATTTGTTGTATTTATTGTGTACTCTCGCAGAATTTGGACGGGTCTCTCGTTTGGACTCCACATGTTATCTCTCCATACCATGACCCATAAATGCATTCAAATGTAATTGGAATATAGAGATTATTACTATAACTTTTTATTTATGACTCATCACATTAGCTCTAAGATTTCAATGAAAAAAGGTGAAAAGAAAAAATACCTTCTAGATCTTTATTGTTCGAATGTTTGTCTCCATTGACTTGAGAGTTATAGTTTATATTATTATATCATAAATATTTTTAGTTCAAAATAAACTTCTCAATATATTTCTAAAAAAAATGAGAATATTTTTCAATTATGTGAACTCATTACCATTTTACATCTTCCCTGGGAAGCCAAAAAAAGTAAACATGATTTGTCTTATTTTATTTTTATTTTCTCAAGAGAAACAGAGAGAGAGCAGAGAGAGGAGAGCGAGCGAGAGCGATAGATAGGAGGCAGAAGAAGGTAAATCCTTTTACTTGTAATCTCAACTTCGATTGAAAGCGCAACTTCAAGCGATTAGCTCAGCGTTTTTTTTTCTTCTTCTCATCTAGCGCACATCTAACTTGCGCTTTTCGTCGATTATTTTACAAGAAATGATTCTTTTTCAAAGACATGTGAAGCAAAGAAGCCATTTCCAACGAAAAAAATGGCAGCTTTATTTGTTCTGAAGGAACTGATCGCCTGGCTGTGTTCTTTAGATTAGGTTAAAATTATTTCCTTCTTCGGTATCCCAGTAGAATTACCCCTCCACAAAATATCGGATCGAAGAGGTCGAAAGTCCAAACTTTTGCCCTTTTTTTATCATTTTTTGCTACAACATTTTGTAAAGATTCAGATCCTACGATGCAATTGGTAATATGGAAAAGTAAGTCTTTATTTATTTATTTTTAAGGAACTAGTTATCACAGTGCTTTGTTATCTATATATACGTATATTTTTTAGAACTTCAATCTTTTCTTAAGCTTAAATGTTTCTGCATTATCCCGTAATTTATTAGATGTGTGTTCAGTTGATCCATTCCATTTCTCACGTTTTTTACTTCTATTTTGATCTTTTTAGCGATAGTATCCTTTTTTTTTCTGTTAAAGATTACACATTTTTGTCAAATTAAGTTTTTTGATGATTCTGAGCTCTAAACTCCACTGTGTTCTTGTTTTGTGGGTTTTGGTTATTGAACTTTTTCCTTAAAACACAGGGTTTCAGAATGGGTATGGAATGTAGGTATTGTGAAAAGTGGAAGGAGCAGTGTAGAAAGTTTGAAGAACATTTCTACTGGGGACATGTTGATGTAAGGAGGATGCATTTCTCCAAGTTCATGACTGGAGATTTCTCAAAATGCATGGTACTTTTAATCTCCCTGAATGCTAATATTTAACATACTTTCTTACACTGAAGAGGCATATTTCGATGTCCATTTGTGCATAGTACTTGTGGAAATTTCAGACCTTGGTTGAGGTTTATTAGCCTGTTTAAAACTTAAAAAGCTTAAAATTATTTGTTTACCTACAATCACCCGAATGAAGGATTTTAGTTATATTCGTTGTCATTTTGCAATTCTACATTATTATTCAATGGAAACCGATATTTGGAGGCATTGTTGATAAACACATGAAGAAGGACTTAAGTGGAGTGGAATGATTGTAAGGTTTCTAAGAGAAAAGTACCTATGTTTTATGCAAATTGGTATAGATCGACCAAGTGAAACTGCAATTTAAAATATAACTACGTCCAATAGATAAAATCTATAAGAGAGGAACTTAAAGTAAAATCACAAAGAATAAATATTATTAAGGCATATAGTAATTATAAAGAGGTTATAGTTTCACAAGGAAGATGGTAAGCAAAGAGAAAGCTATTTCCCTTGAAGATTCATGTGTCTTGTTAGGTTTTAAGCTAAGTGAGGTAGTGATGTAGAAAATAGTTAATACAAGAATCTAATTATTTTGATCAAGTTAGATTTAATCAGAGTAAATTTGATATAAATAAGTTAAAATCCAAACATTAAAAAAAATGAAAATACAATATTGAGAATTTATTAAATGACATTATTCAGGAAGAAATATTTTTTGAAGCGATATAACTATAACCTAGAAATATCCTATTGAGTCAAAAGATTGAAGTTAGCTTAGCTTAGAAGAAGATGGAATATAAATCTAAGGTTTTTGGAACATCTATTGATATTTGAGAAGTTATGAAAAGCATTGGATTTGTTTGTCTAATAAATATTGTAAATGAAACCTTAAATACTAAGGCTTCAACTTGTTACAATTGTATCTTGGTTTTAGTTTTAAAGAAAATGGTGTGTCGCAAATGCAAAATGTATAGTATGAGTTATACAATAAAATTATGTCCGAAGGAAATAACACATGAGCTGACAAATTTTGTCGATATTGGTTGGCTTGTATTAAAGGATTAATGTCATGATTGTTCGATAAGTTTTACATTAGCTGTCAATTGCCTAATACAACCCTCTACTTTTCTTATTTAGGACTTGAGATCTGGCAGAGGCAATGTTAAAAGGATTCATGTAGTCAACCCCACATAGTGGGAGGCTTGTTGTTGTTGTTGGTTGGTTGGCTTGGTTTTATGTGAGTTCTATTATCAGGACATTTTTTATGCCTATGAAGCATAAATATGGACACAATAACATGGCATACTTAAAAAGAGTAGGATACGACATGCCTAGAACACATTATATTTTATAAATTATTAGTATGCAATCTATAATAGTACAGTATGCAATCTATAATTTGTACTATTCTTTATTGCAGGAATCACAAAATGAAGTATTATCAATTTTTTTTAATTGTTAAATACACTTTAGGAAATAAATCTTATACAACAACAACATCAAACCTTATCCCACTTTGTGGGGTTGGCTACATGAATCCTTTTTCTCTTTTATGTTTTGTTAAGAGTCAAATTCTCAATAAAATCTAATAAAGAAAGGTCATTTATAATATTTTTAACCAAGTCTTTTTAGGTCTACAAGAAAATAAATATTATAATGATTAAAAAAAAGACAAGAACTGTCAATAACAAAAGAAATGCTTTATTATATGAATATTCATTAATCACTTTCAATTGTCACTAGTTTTTTTTATTAAAATGTCAGCCCTCTTCAAATTAATTGGAGTTAACACAGTCCTTACTATGGTCATTTAGCTCTCATGCCCTATTCAATGAAACCACCTTCATAATACAAAAAATGTAGTTTTCATAGATGGCTCATCAGGAGAGAGATTACCAACTTCAAGCATTTTCTGTGTCATCTATTATAGTTTATGTACCCCCACAATGTACAGTTTGGTCTCTCCTTGAGTATTTTCTGCATAGTTGATTTCATTATCTTCTACATTCTTTGGAGCACATGTATTGTTCAATGCAAGATTTACAGTATGAACAACACAACTAATCCAAAATATAGGGCATTGAATTTCAATCAAAATTTATGCATCTTTGCAAATTAGTACATTGTTAGTGATAAATTAGACCACTTTCTCTGGACCCACACTCATAATCACTTCTTTAATTTGATTTGCAATGTAAAACTTATCTTATATACTCCTTTGCAATTATGAACATAGGCCCATATTCTATAATTGCTATGAAAATTAATCAGATATTTTTTATGCATCTGCTCAACCACCACAAACAATAGTAACTCCCTTCTTATTCCAATTCTCATTGATGGGCTTAAACATTCTTTTAACATTTATTCTTTCTTTTTGAAGCAATGCTGTTCTTAAGAGATTATAATCATAAAGAATTCATCTAACGGCTAAGGTATTAGTTGCATATAAAAAGCGCTAAAATTTCAGGGGTTTCTTGCTAAATAACTCATGCAAATGTTCTCTAATATGCAAATTAAAAGCTCTTTCAATATCATTAGAGCATGACGCTTTCCTCAACCTGAAATAAATGTTCATTTGATTATGAGTTACAGTATTAATTGAAGCCACTTTCTTCATAAGAATTGGAGACCTTAAAGGATGAATTCTTCTTTTTTTGCGCAATTTCACCATTTAGCTTTTGCACTTTCTAAATCTGTGTGGATGTTATTTTAAGGCATGATCGAATGTCTGCATTAGGTTGTTTGAGCAAGTGAGCTCTTACTCCTTGACAAAAAGTGTCATTACAATTCTACATTTCCTTCCACTCCAATTGATTCAACTTTCTCTAATTTGGTAATAAATACTCATAAAAGTTTTGTTTCATCTTCTATGGGATTATTTGATGAGGACATCATCAGTGATTTCGACACGTGTACCTTCGGAGACACCGGAGATCGACGGCCACGATCAGGAGTTTATATTTTGAGTTATTTTATGTAGTAGTTTATTTTATTTTTCAGTTTTACTGTTTTACCCTTGTGGATGGTCATTTGATATTGTAGTCCCGAGGGCATTTATGTCTTTTAGTCTTTGTTTCATTTTGGCCTATTTATAAGAGGCCTCATGCATTGTATTAGGGAATGATTATTGATGAATGAAAATTTTTTCTTATTGATCTCTTTGTGAGTTCTAAAATTTTCCTAGATCTCTTTGTGAGTTCTTGAGGAGAGGGTATCGTGGATCTCTTTGTGAGTTCTTGTGGAAGTGGTGTTCAAGGTTTGTAGTTTGATAACTTTCTTTTCCCTACCCAATCCCTTCTTCCCTTACTTAGCCGAAAATTCCCCTCCTCCCCAAAATTTCCCACCCCACCCACTCCACCGCCGGCCTCCCTTGGCTGGTTCAGCCACCGGCAGCCCTCCCAGCTCCCTGCCGCCAGTCGCCGGGTCCAAGCCCCACCCGTGGCCACCCTCCTTGCCGGCCCTCTTCCTTTTCAAATTTCAAACTCTCATTTCTTAATTTGCTTTCCTAACTAGGCTTTGTCTGTTTAGGAAAGACATTTAAAGGAGTTACAACCTATTTGAAATTCAAACTATTTCCCCTCTCATTCTAATTCAAATTTGGGAGTTATTTTAAATTCAATCAATTCTGAAATTTAAATTCAGATTTGAATAGAATTAATTAACCCCTTGTGGTCCCCACATGCTTAACTCCAAACCCCTCTCTCTCCTCCCCATATGGCCGGCCACTCTTCTTCTCTTCTCTCTCCCAAATTACATTAAAAGCTCCACCAAATCAGCCCATAATTATCTCCTCCATCAACACCCCTAGCCATTATTGAATTAATTTGAATTTTCAAATTAATCTCCCTCCAAAACCACTTGAAGCTGAAATTATTTTCAGTTTTCTAAAATCCCTCCCTCTCCCTCTAGCTCACGGCCAACCCCGCTCTTCCCAAACCGCCACTTCCACCTCCCCTCCCCCTCCCTCTTCTCTTCTCCATTTATTACGAACATGAATGGCGGATCCGGAATTTGATCACGGATTTGTGTATGCCTTTCAAGGAGATATCGACGTCGTCCGTTCGCCATTCTTTGACGTTGGGTTGGGCTTCGACCACACCGTCGAGGATTACTTGAACCATATTCTTCCCACCCTCGTGGACGTCATCGACGAACAACTTCCGGCCGACGATTGGATCATCAATGGGCGTCCACCATCTTCCCCAAATCCGGCTTCTTCCCCGGCGACTAGTCTTCTCGGCGTCACTTGTGTGATAGTGACATCGTTGAGTTTGTGCGCCATCCTCTTCCGCTAACTGAGTGAATCCAAGAGTGAAGTGAGGGACTTCAAGGTGAAGGATTTATATCTTAAGCCTTGGATTTTTGTTAAGAGCCATTTGCTTTATTACTTATCTATTGGATTAATTTTGTTGGTTTCATGTCGCTTCTAAGGTAATTGATTGACGTTGCTTAGTTCTTCCATGGAAATTTCTTACGATCTTGTGGGCTCCGAAAAATTCCAGTTTTGGGATGTGTGATCCCGGGGGAATTTTCAGAAGGCAGATTGGGTTTTAGATAAGACACTACCCAGAGATTTCGCCCTCATTTAGTGAGGACTTTTTGATCTGAGTTCTGGTTTCCTATAGGCGCAAGCCCCTATAGTTAATTACCCCTCCTGATAACAAGAGAGAACTTTCGATTAAGGCTAGTCGTTAAGGATGTCAAATAGGTTATAAACCTATCGTATAATAGCAACAATTTTAGGGTTTGATGTTATGATTTGAATTCTGAAGTTTAGAATTTAAAGCTTATCACCATAAACTTAAAACTGGTGGTGGGGGGAATGAAGACGAGCCCGATCAAGATCCCATGGTTCCGTCGTCCCGGGCTGTCATGATCCCTATTCTACTTAGTCAGAGGAGGTAGTCGACCCAACCTGAAGAAGCACTTTGTCGGCAGCCGTGGGTGCTTCGTCAATGAATACTGGTAGACCGTGGGTTGGTATTTTG